CCTTCCTTCATCTCTTGGCTACCACCATTCTACTTTCTGTTTTTATGAGTTTGATTACTTTAGTACTTCATATTAGTGGGATTATGCAGTATCTTCTCTTTGTGACTGGTTTATTTCACCTAGCATAACGTCCTCAAGGTTTATCCATGTTGTACCATATGCCAGAATTTCCCTCCTTTTTAAGGCTGAATAATATTCAGTTGTATGGATAGATTATATTTTCCTTATTTATTCATGCATTCATGGAAATTTAGGTTGCTTCTATATCTTGGCTATTTTGAAATAATGCTGCAGTGCACATGGATGTGTAGGTATCTCTTCAAGATTCTGTTTTTGGTTCCTATGGCTATATACCCTGAAATGGGATTACAGGATCATATGGTAATTCTATTTTTAATTTTTTGAGGAACCTCTATTCTTTTTCCATAGTGGCTACACCATTTTACCATCCCACAAACAGTGTACTAGGGTTCTAATTTTTTCACATCCTTGTCAACCTTGTTATTTTTTTATTTATGTTTTATAATGGCTATACAGATGGGGGTGAGGTGATACCTCATTGTGTTTTTGATTGGCATTTTCCTGATAATTATTTATATTGAACATCTCTTCTTATACATATATATACATATGCTTGTCCATCATTTGTTTATTTTCTTTGGAGAAATGTCTGTTCAAGTCTTATGCCCGTTTTTATTAATGGTTATGTTGTTTTGTTGTTATTGAGTTATAAGGGTTCTTTATATATTCTACGTGTTAACCTCTTATTTGATATATGTTTTGCAGATATTTTCTCCTATTCTTTAGGTTGCCCTTTCACTCTGTTGATTGTTTTCTTTGCCGCAAAGAAGTTTTTAAGTTTGATATAGTCTCGTTTGTCTCTTTTTGCATTTGTTGCCTGTGCTTTTGGTGTCATATCTAAGAAATCATTGTCAAGACCAATGTTCCGAAGCTTTCCCATATGAAAGAATTAAGAGTTTTATAGTTTCATGTCTGGGGTTTAGCAATTTTAGTATTAATATTTTTGCAAATAATCAACCTTTGGCTTTTTAATGTTCTTTATAGTTTTATTTCATCAATTTTTCCTCTTTATTACTTCTTATTTTAGATTCTTTTGGCTCTTCTTTTTTTAGCTTCTTCAGGATGGAGCTGAGTTATATTTAATTCAAACTTTTTTTTAGTGCTTTCATTTAAAGTATAACTTTCGCTTTAAGAACTGTATTAGCTGCTGTATTAGTTTGCCAGGGTGGCTATAACAAAGTACCAAAGATTGATTAGCTTAAATACTGGTTAGTATTTTTTTTTCTTAACAACTGTGGATGCAAGAAGTCCAAGATTAAGGCCTCAGCAGTGTTGATTTCTTCTGAGGCCTCTCTCCTTGGCTTATAGCTGGTCATCTTCTCCCTATGACTCCACATGGCCTTCCCTCTAGAACTTTCTGTGTCTAAATTTTCTCTTCTTATTAGGACACCATTTTTATTGGATTAGGGCCTACTCTAATGACCTTGTTTTTACTCAATTACCTCTTTCAAGACCCTGTCTCCAAATACAGTCACCTTCTGAGGTACTGAGGATTAGGATCAACATATGGGGGAAGGGGAATAACAGTTCCATATCACAAATTTGCTGAGTTGTGATATGTATTGCTATTGTTGTGTTTATTAGAATCATTGAGTTCAAAATATTTCCTTCTGCCCTTTGGAATTCTTTCTTTGTTTTGTATCTTGTTTAGGCAAGGGCTACCAGATTTCTAATTATGGAGGTTTTTTCCCCCCCAAGTATCTTGTTATTGATTTCTACTTTAGTTCTGTCTTGGGCAAAGAACATACAAATGTTCCTTGACTTACAATGGGGTTACATCCCATAAACCCATTATAAGTTGAAATATCGGTTAAGTTGAAAATGCATTTAATATACTTAACCTACTGAACATCATAGCTTAACCTAGCCTACCTTAAATGTGTTCAGAGCACTTACATTACCCTAGAGTTGGGCAAAGTCATCTGGCAACACAGTACATTATAGAGTATCAGTTCTTTACCCTGGTGATTGCGTGGTTGAAAGGGAGCTGTGGCTCACTGCTGCTGCCCAGGGTTGTAAGAGAACATCATATCCCATATTGCTAGTCCTGGAAAAGATCAAAATTCAAAATTTGAAGTATGGTTTCTATTGAATGCGTATCACTTTCACACCATCGTAAAGTCAAAAAATTCTAAGTTGAACCATACTAAGTTGGGACCATCTGTTCCCTCTTCAAATTTTAGTCCTTTGAAATGGGAAACTTGTTTTATATGCCTCAGCATTTTATCTACTTTGGTGAATATTCTATGTGTACCTAAAAAGAACATGCATTCTATACTCGTTGGGTTTAGTCTTCTGTAAATGTCCGTTAGATCAATACTGCCTGCTAGTGCTTTTCAAATCTTCTATTTCCTTACTGGTTTATTGTTAATGTTACTTTTTCATTGAGTGAAGCGTCGTGAATTTTATTAACCCTTATTATGCATTTGTCCATTTCTCTTTTTGCATTTTGTCATTTTTTTCTTGATGCATTTTCTCCTAGTTTGTGGCTTATCTTTTCATTGTCTTACCAGTGTCTTTTCCAGAGCAGAAGTTTGTAATTTAAATGAAACCCAACTTAACCAATTTTTTCTTTCATTTATTGTGCTTTTGGTGTTGTATCTCAAAGTTACTGTAAAACTCAAGGTCACCTACATTTTCTCCTATGTTATCTTTCAGGAGTTTTATAGTTTTGTTTTTTACCTTTAGGTCTATGATACATTTTGAGTTACTTTTTGTGAAAGGTATAAGATCTGTGTCCAGATACTTTTTTTTTTTTTTTTGCATGTAGATGTTCAGTTGTTCCAGTATCATCTGTTTTAAAGAATATCCTTTTTTTACTGAAATTTCTTTGCTCTTTTGCCAGAGATTAGTTGACTCGATTTCTGTGGATGTATTTCTAGGCTCTCTCCATTAATCTGTTTGATTTTTTTCTCTAGTACCACACTGGCTTTATTACTGTTGCTTCATAGTAAGTCCCGAAGTCTGGTAGTGTTAGTTTTCCGATTGTATTGTTCTTTTTCAATATTGTATTGACTCTTCTGTGTCTTTTGCCTTTCCATATAAATTTTTAGAATCAGTTTTTTGATATCTGCAAAGTAATTTCTGGAGATTTTTATGGAGATTTCTTTGAATCTGTAGCTGAAGTTAGGGAGAACATCTTAATAATATTGAGTCTTCTGAGCCATAATATGGAATATATCTCCATTTATTTCAATAGTTTTTTATTTCTTTTAGCAGAATTTTGTAGTTTTCTTTATAGAGATGTTGTAAAGATGTTTTAGATTTATACCTAGTATTACTTTTTTTGGGGTGATTTTTTAATATTAACCTTATATCCTACAATCTTGTTATAATCACTTGTTAGTTTCAAGAGTTTCTTTGTTGGTTCTTTGGGATTTTCTACATAGACAATCATGCCATCTGCAGACAAAGATGGCTTTATTTCTTCCTGCCCAATCTGTATACCTTTTATTTCCTTTTCTTGCCTTCTTACATTAGCTAGGGCTTTTAGTATTACTATAGTGTTAAGTAGGAGTAGTAAAAGGGGATATCCTTGCCTTTTTCCTTATCATAGGGAGAAAGCATCTTGTTTCTCACCATTATAATAGCTGTAGCTTCTGCGCTGTATTTTTATTTAAGCATAGCCACAATTGTTTGCAGATGGCATCAGCTAGGCCATTTTTAACCTAAGCTTAATAAAATTAATATTGATTCTTCAATGCCATCTAATATCCAGTGTTCAGATTTCCTTGATTGCTTCAAAATGTCTGAACAGGGTTTACATATTGCATTTGATTTGTGTCTCTAAATCTTTTTTTGTTCTGTAAAGGCTTCTTTATTTTTCTAATGTTATTCGTTTTTTTGAAGGCTTTGCATTTAAAAAAAATTGCAAGTACCCCTTAGAACTTTTGCATCATTTCTTAATAATGACTGTCGTTTTTCTCTATGTCTAGGATGTTGTGATCACCCCTAACAATGATAACAATAGCTCTTCTTACATCATCTCATACCTGGTTTATATTGAACTATTGAACTGTCCTTTGTAGTCTCATTCATTTGTGCACGACAAGATCTAGTTGAGGCCTTATGTGTCATCTGAAGAATGATTTATCTCTTATTTATTTTTTGTGGGTTTACATATTTAGTTTTTTTTTTTTAATTTCAGAATATTATAGGGGTACAAATGTTTAGGTTACATATTTGCCTTTGCCCTGCCTGAGTGAGAGCTACAAGCGTGCCCATTCCCCAGACAGTGCACACCACACCCATTAGGTGTGAATATCACTAAGGAAAAATCCTTTATTTCTCCCTTATTAAAAATATCTTCATGAAATTTGCTTGTTCTAGATCTTAGCCAATTGCTGACTGCCCATTCCTAAATTCTAAGTCACATTGGAATCTTGAGAACCTAATCTTGGCTATGTGAGTGTGAATAGAATGGTGTAGCCAGGGTCACATGGAAGGAAACTCAAGTTATGGACTTCACCCTGCTTAATGTCTCCCTTCAAAGCCTACATTCTCTGGAGTCCTCTAGGCTCCTTCTACTTTGGATTTCCTAGACCCTGTTCTTTGGCCTCAGGGCAGATGTGAAGGGGGTGCTTTTATTTTCAACATGGGCCACTATTTCTCAATGTGAATGCTTACCTGAAGGCACTCTCAGGCCTTTTTCTCTTATTGGAGTCCACACATAGTCTTACCCACCTGCTGAAAGATGGGGGCTTTATTCCCCAATAAGATCTTGAGTCTGAGCTTGCTGCTGGCCCAGATCTGTGGGCTTTATTTATAGGACACTGGCTAAGAATGGGCTACGTGATGCCCTCTGTAACTTACCTTTCTTACCTTCCCTTTTCCTTACTTGCTACTGAATTGGAAGGCTGGGCGGAATGTGAAGGGCATACCTTCCAAATACATCTCTCACTTCCCATCTCTTTCCCTAGATCTGCCTCTGCAACTTGACTCTTCTCTAGGAGGAGTACTCAGGAGAGCAGGAACCTGGGCCCAGGGCTCCTGACAACCAGGGAGGAGGTGAGTGCTGAAATTTCTTCCTAGCTCTTGTAGGAAGAACTCATTGTCTTTTCTTGTCATGGAGGATGCCTTCTTGGTGTCTGGCAAAGCCTATCTCTGATCTTGGAGGTGTGAGCCATCCTACTTACAGCTTTCTCTCAGACTTCTCTACTCCTTTCGTGATTCACCAATTAGTTAACTGTGACTATCACATCCTGGTCAGTTAAAAATACAAGACTTCAATGCTTATGTGGCCAGTGACCCCCAGTGCCTAAAAAGTATAGGAAGGCTTTTGAAGAATATCTGAGTTGCCTCTGAAGGATTTAGCTAGTTGAAGATTTAGGGGGGAAGACATTGCTGTGAGAATGTCTTAGGAAGTCTAGCCTATCTCAGAGACCAGGTGACCGGCAGGCCCTTCACTGTTTAGGAAGCTTGAAGCAGACAGTGGTCTTTGACCACTTTAGTTTTCTCTGTGTGGAGGTGAAGATGCTAACCTGTTGTCTGTGTGTAGTGCATGGATAGATTTAGTTTTGCAGGCTGCATGTTTTATATTTAAGTGAGTTTTCCATACTTACCAATTGGAAGATTACATTTAAAGGTCCAGATTGCCTACTTTTCTGAAGATAGATCATTCTACACTGGCTAGGCAACATGTGAACTTGATGTGATTAAATAGATTAACATTTACTAACAACCTAAACAGCTGCTAGGCAAGGTACTTTTGTATTGATTATATCAATTATACCAAATATTTATTGCAACTTTTGCTAATCCAGTTTTTCTTTGTACTATAAATATGTCAAGTATAGAATTTTTTTGAGAGATGATCTGGACATAATCATATTCTTGGGCTCATGGATATTTGCATATTCTTGGAATAGTTAAAAATGATTGGATTTGATGTTATCAGAATGTTATTGAGAGTTATGTGTCTCTCAATTTTCAAATCTGTTGTGCTTTGAGAGAAAATGTGCATGTAGCATATACAATTCAGGACATTTCCCAAGGTAATAGGGGACTTTTTTCTTCTGTATGTTGTACTTTACTGTATGTTAATAGAGAAAAATTCTTGCCAAACATGGAACATTGGGTTACATTTTCTGTCCCTACCCTGCCCCTTCACATGGGATCCGTAGCTGGCCCTCAACTGTATTCTATCTGTGACCAACATCACTCAATGTTTATATATTTTTTGTTTTAGCTATTTATTCATGAAATATTGATGAAGAGATACAGCGTCTAAGACACTAGCTTTTTAAGATGAAACTTCTATACCTGGAAGAGTGTCTGGCACTCAAAAACTACTCATTGCATAAAGGGGATCGCATCTTTAGTTATTTTGAATGAAATAAAGAACAAAGAGGTTTATTTTGTTGTATGTTATTTGAGACATAGAAATTACACATTTTACGATTTTTAAAATTGCATTGCCAGGTAATTTGTTATGCATCATATCTGAATTATCTGAGTTATGGAGAAAAATCTGACCTATATATACAACATGACATTTAGATAACATTTAGGCATTTCTCCTAAGGACTTTTGCTTGAGAGGAGAAATTGTAATATGTATTACAGTTTTAACATAGAAGAGGGGCTGGTAGGCACAGGATGTTAGTTAGCACACCTTTGTTGAATCTTAAAATATTTTTGAATGTCTGTTGTGTGCAGGAGACACTGATGACAGAAACAATGATACCTTCAGCAAAACCCCCATTCGTATAAGACTCCTAATTTATTTAGGAGTTCACTTATCATTGGAATATAAAGCTTTTGAAGTTTTTAAATTGAGATATAATTCACATGCCATAAAATCCACCCTTTTAAACTGTACAATCCAGTGGATTTTAGTATATTAACAAAATTATGCAACCTTCACCACCATAATGTTTTCATCACTCCTAAAAGAAACCCCGTACCCATTAAGAGTTATTCCCCATTCTCTCCTCCCTCAGCCCCTGACAACCACTGAACTGCCTTATGTTCTATGGGTTTACCTGTTCTGGATATTTCATATAAACAGAATCATGCCATTTTCAAGAAACCAAACCTGTCATAAAAAATGGCATAGTGCGGAAAATCCAAGGCTCTGTCCTGCCTCAAAAGCAACTAGTGAGCAGGGCAAAATATGTCTGAATCAACTTTTGTAGAGTTCTGGAATCTAGTCAAAACTGGAAGAAAGTACTGGGGCATTTTAAGCTCCCTAGCTACCATTAAATTGCCTGTTTCCCAACTGTTCATGAGGAAGCCCAGGAATAAAGACTTTAAATCAACTTTCTTAATAATTACAATGAGTTAAGGAAACTATAGATGTGGAACTAAGAGAAACCAGGTTAATGTGTTTCAACAAATAATTACTATCAATAAAGAAAAATTATAAAAGAACAATGTAGAAATTCTAGAGCTGCAAAATACAATAAGTGAAGTGAAAAATTCACTAGAAGTGTTCAGTGGCATATTGCAGTAGGCATAATAGTGAACTTGAAAATAGTTCAATTGAGATTATCCATTTTGAGGAGTAGAAAAAGAATAATGAAAAATGAACAGAACCTAAGGGAGACCTGTGAGACACCATCAGGTATAGTAACATGCACATAATGGGAATTGCAGAGGGAAAACATAAAGAATATTTGAAAAGGTAATATCTAGAAACTCTTCGAGTTTAATGAAAGACATAAATGTATACATCTAAGAAGTTCAACAAACTCCAAACAGGATAAACATAAAAAGATTCACACAAAGACATATTATACTCAAATATTCAAAACCCAAAGATGGAATTTTAAAAGCAGCAAATGATCAGTGATGCATTACCTACAAGCAGTCCATAATAAGATTAATAGCTGATTTCTCATCAGAAACCATGGAAACCACCAATCAGTGAAATAGCAGTTAAGATGCTGAAAGAGAAAGCTTTCAACTAAAAATTACTAAAAATTTTGTAACTGACAAAACTATCCTTCAAGAATGAAGGCAAAATTAAGACATTTCTAAATAAACAAAAGCTGAGGACGTTTATTAACAGTTCTGCCCCACAAAAAATACTTCAGGCTGAAATGAAAGGATGCTAGACAGAAGCTCTAAAACATAAGAAAAAGAAACCACTAGTAAAGGTAATTTCATAAGTAAAAATTTAAAAGCCAGTATTATTATTATTTTTGTTTGGTTTATAACTTTTTCTTTTCCTATATAATTTAAGACAAGCACATGAAAAATTATAAATTTATGTTATAGGCATATCATGTATAAAAATGTAATATGTGACAATTACAATGTAAAGGAAGAAATATAAAGGAGCAGAATGTTTATATACTATTGAAACTAAATTGGTATTATAGCTAAATGGCAAAAGTAAGTCTTTCCTTAAACACTAAATGTGAATGGATTAAACTCCTCAAAGCATAGGTATAGATTGGTAGCCAGACCAGATTAAAAATAAAACTAAGAATCATATATATACTGCCTAAAAGAGACTCACTGTAGATAACAAGAAGCAGAGAAAGGTTGAAAGTAAAAGGATGGAAAAATATGCAAATAATAACTAAATGAGCTGTGGTGGCTATGTCATTGTGAGACAAATAGACTTTAAATCACAAAAAATTACAAGAGATCATGAGGATATCATCATATGTTGATAAAACATTCACTATAGAAAAGATATAACTGTTATAAACATACATACCTAACAATATACCCTCAAGATATATGAAGTAAAATTGAAGTAATTGAAGAGAATAATAGTTCTACAATAATGGTTGGAAACTTTAATACCTCACCTTCAATAACAGTAGAACAACCAGACAAGAGATCAGTAAGAAAATATAAAACTTTAACTACACTATAAACCAATTGTGCTTAACGAATATACAGAGAGTCCCTGACTTAACGATAGTTTGGCTTACAGTTTTTCAACTTAACGAGTTTATTGGGATGTAACCCCATTGTAAGTCAAGGAGCATTTATATGCAGAACACTCCACCCAACAACAGAGTGCACATTTCACTAAAATGAACATGGAACATTCTCTAGGATGGATCATACGTTATGCCACAAAATAAGTTTTAATAAATTTGAAATTATTGATGTCATAGAAAGTACCTTTCTGATCACAATGGAAGGAAACCTGAAATGAATAACAGGAGGAAAACTAGAAAATTAGTAAATATGTAGAAATTCAAAAACACAGTTTTAATGAGTGGATCAAAGAGAAAATCAAGGAAAGTAGACTATACCTTGAGATGAATGGAAATAAAATCACAGCATACGAAAACTTATAGATTACAGCAAAAGCACTTCTAACAGGGAAATTTATAGTTGTATTTGCATATATTAAAAATAAGAAAGCTTTCAGATTTATAACCTATTTGTAATATTATAGAACTAGAAAAAGAAGAGCAAGCTAAACTGAAGCATGCAGAAGGAAGGAAATAATAGTAAAGTTTAGAGCAAAGATATATAAGGGAGAATAGATGAACAGTAGAAAAAAATCAGTGAAACCAAAAGTTGGTTACTTGAAAAGATCAATAAAATTGATAAACCTTTATTTAGCTAACTAACCAGAAAAAAGAAGACTCAAACTACTAAACTCAGAAATTACATTGGAGACATTACCATCAATTTAAAGACATAAAAAGGACTATAAGGGAATGCTATGAACAAATGTATGCCAGTAAATTTGTTAACCAAAGTAAAATGGACACATTTCTGAAAACATACAATCTATCAAAACTGACTCAGGGAGAAAAAAATTCTGAATAGAGCTATGAATATTAAGAATATTGAATCTGTAATAAAAATCCAAGAAAGAAAAGATAGCATCCTTGCTATTTCTGCCAAACATTTAAAGAAGAGTTAACACGAATCTTTCTCAGACTCTGCTAAAACATGGAAGAGGGAAATTTTCTAACTCATTCTATGATGGTGGCGTTAATCTGATACCACAAAGACACTATAAGAAAAGGAAACTACAGGCCAGTACATAGATACTGGATACATTATGGATATAGATGTAACATTCCTAAT